AGTGAGTATCGATTGTTTTGCAAACCAATTTACATCCTCCTGCCTTACTGCCCATCTGTACCCTTATTTTTCACAGTTTCTCCCCCCTTCCCTTTCAATCCTGATACTCTTAGCCTTGGCTTTTTGATCACCCACTTCCTGTTTACTCCGAAGAACATAAGTGACAAAGGTACCAGTTTTACTGAAAAAAAGATAAAGATGGAAGTGGGGGGGGGAAAACAGAAGAGAACAGAACAAAAGCTTCCGAGAATTAACAGAGATGGTTAGAAGACGATATAAGTAAAGAAAAACCAAAACTTACTGATTAACTCGTAAAGATTAGAACAATGTACAGGAAGTACACTTTTAATTTCACTCAATGATGCTGCTAATATTGACTAGCTTGTTGCACGCTCCTAAAAATATAGTCATTGCTTTGCAAGCTCCAAATATTTAACTTGTAACATTTTCTTTATGTTGGGCCATAAGTTTGCATGACTATTTGGAATAATCTAAAATCAAATTGGAAAAAAAATACCAGCAAACCATCTACCTTTCCAGGTTTACTGAACCAAGATTGATGATATCATTCACTGTGCCCTGAAGCACTAAAGACTTGTCAGGCTCAATTATTGGATTACCATGTTTGCCATACAGCTAACTTTCATAGTTGGGTATATTTAAAAAAGGCTGTTTTACTCTGAACATATGCCACTTAGCTACTGTCAATAATATTAATCATAGTTGATCGTTGGACAACTTAGAACAATGAGTTTGAGTATGAGGAACTTGAACTATATTTTGGAACAGTATTATTTGCCAAGAACACCTGAAGTATATTTTCACCATTTTCTTCACCTTATTCATTAGCATTTCCATTAGGTGGAGGTGTGGAGTTCAGCATCTCAATGTTTAGATCTCCTTTCCATTTTTGTAATGAGCAAGGGAAAAGATGAAGACCCAGATTTTCAGTTATTTTCTGCAAGTTAATTTCGGATTTCCAAACCCCTTTCTTAGATTTTTGATTAGAAGATATCCTATGAATAAGAAAAAAAGAGAGAACTTCCCATCTCAGAAGGTTTGAAATTTTGTGAAGGTTATTTTGATGAAAACTTGCTGTTAAATAGTAGTAAAGCATTTGACTAGTAACTTGTTCTGTCATTGAGTAGAGCTCCTTTTGTAGATAATTGGTTACTTTTAAAATGATTGCTTAAAAAAATCTCGAGTTCATATTTTGATTGGAAATAACATTTAGCATTAATCCAAGAACATTTATGTTTTAATTTCATGGCTGCAATATTTTGCTGTCTTTCTGCCTGCACACTGGCTGATTTGTGGTTGGGTGTTTTGATAAAAACAAAAATGATCCCAGTGGAGGAAATTCAGTGGAAATGTTTGACTACACTTAAGTCAAGAGCAAGTTTTTTAAAAAAAAGTGAAACAGTGAAATGTTAGACATTGGTCTGTCCAAGTTAGTTACATACATTTTAAAATAGCATATTAAATACTTGTAGATAAATTACTAAGATTCTTTTAAATTCAGCTTTATTCAATATAGCATGAAATTGGCCACTAACAGGTATATTAATATTAATTGTTTAGTGACCAATTGCTGCCATCTTCCAAGGACACTGTTCAAATCAATTGATCACTTCAGTTATGAGGATAGTTTGAAGCAGTTGGGACTGTTCTCCTTGGAAAGAAGAAGACCAATAGGAGGTTTGATAGAGGTTTTTGAAATCATGTGTGGGCTAGATAGAATAGATAGGGAGGAGCCATTCCTGTTCATTAAAAGGAGCAAGATTGATTAGAGGGTATAGCTTTAAAGTGATATGCAAAAGAATCAAGGGTGATGAGAGAAAAAAAAACATTTTGCTCAGCAAGTAGTTAGGGTGTTGAATGCATTGCTTGGAAGTGTGGTTGAGGCAGGTGCCGCACATGATGTTGTAAACAAGGGTTGGGAGTAATTTTATTTGCTTGGATAGAGTACTGGTGAGTCAACAAAGTAGAAAGTTGGGATAAATTGTTTTTTTTTTCTATATAGCAAGGTGTAACTAGTGGGGTGTCACAGAGTTCAGTCCTTAGGCTCCAACTATTTACAATCTATTAATATAATGACTTGGATGTAGGGGTAGAAAGTGCTATAGCCGAATTTTCAGATGAAGCCAAAAGAGTTGGAAGAGTAAGTTATAATAGAGGAGTAAAAAAATTAGAAATGGATATGAAAACGTTAGGTGAATGGGCCAAATTTTGGCCCACTGGAGTTTAACGTAGACAAGTGTGTGGTTATCTATTTTGGTTGGAAGAATAGAAAGGCAACAAATTATCTAAGCGGAGAGAAGTTTTGCTTCAGTGCAGAAGGATCTGGGTGCCCTCATGCATGATGTGCAGAAAACTCCTATGCAGGTAAGCAGGTGATAAGGAAGGCAAATGGAATTTTGGCATTTATTGATAAAGGTATAGAGTATAAAAGTAGGAAAGTTTTTGGGGCAACTGTATAAGACATTAGTGAGACTGTATCTAGAGTATTGTGTATAGCTTTGGTTTCTTTATTTCAGAAGGGATGTAGTTGCATTAGAGGCAATTCAGAGGAGATTTATTAGATTGATCCCAGAAATGATGGGTTTGTCTTATGAAGAGAACTTGACCATTTATTTATGCCAGTATTCTTTGGAGGCAGAAGAATGAGAGGAGATCTAAGTGAAATGCTAAAGGGGATTGACAAAGTAGATGTAGAGAAGATACTTCCTATTGTGGAGCAATCTAGAATGAGAAGCCATAGCTTCAGGATAAGGATAGCATATTTAAAACACAGATGAGAAAAAACTACTTCTCTTGACGTGGTGAATCTTTTGGAATTTAGTATCCCAGAATATGGTGGATGCTGGGACATGGAGTAAATTTAAGGAGGAGAAGGACACATTTTTAACTCCTAACAGGTTGAAAGGTTATTGGGAGTGGGTAGAAAAGTGGAGTTTAGTCTGAGATGAGATCAGCCATGATTGTTTTGAATGGCGGAGCAACATTGAGAGGCTGAATTACCTACTCTTGCTGCTAGTTCTTATGGTCTTATTCGGTTCAATTTAGGCATCCACAGGTCATTGGATGATTATTTGGATAGAAATAGTTTGTAAAGGTATGAGGAAAAGGCACAAAATTTGCACATAGTAATGATGCTTATTTGAAGAGCCTGCAGGGACAATAATCTGATTGGCCTCCTTCTGCATCGTAACATTTCTGTGATTCTCTGATTCTTCTGTGAAAAGTCTGTTGTATTAAATGAGAGCTTCCCATTGGTTGGCCCAATCAAAGTTCACAATTAGCCGTTAGGCTGTGGATGACTAAGGTTAAGTGAACATACCTTTTGGTGAGAAATACAGATTGCCAGCATAATAACAATGTAGAAAGGGGCTGGGCTAACTCGGAATTGGGACAACTGGAGCCAAACAGATCTGTGATACTAACTCCAGTTTTGACCATTATAGAATAGATCAACCATTTCAGGTTTGGCAATGTGATAATCAAAACTTAGTGAAAGAGAAACTTAAAAAAATTAATTCACCCACTCCATTATATTCATACATGTACCACTAATGGGTATCTGCATCATGATGTCCTCAACTTGGGAATACAACAAGATACTGTCTACAGTTTCTGTTTCCTTAGGTAAGGACGGTTTTGCTTGCTTACAGGAAGTGCGCTGGAATGTTGTTTGGAAGTATAAGTTATATTTGCCTTCTTGAATTCAAGTTTTATAGCCATTTTTTAATGTAAGTAGACCAGCAATTCTTTGAGTGAAAATTCCAGGATTTTGAAACAACAACACTAAAGGACAGTGAGTGACTTGGAGGTGGGGGTATTTCCATGTATCTGCTGCCCTGGTCATGGATTTGGAAAGGGGTTCAAGGATGTTTGGTGAAATTTTGCTGTACATCTTGTAGATGGTACACACTGCTGCTAGTGAGTGTCACTGATGGAGCGAGTGGATGTTTATGAATGTGGTGCCAAGCACATGAGCTGCATTGTCCTGGATAATGTCAAGCTTCTTGAATGTTGGTGGTGCTGCACTCATCCAGGCAAGTATGATGGGGAGTTTTCCATCACATTCCTCATTTATGCCGTGCAGATGGTGGACAGGCTTTGGGGTGTCAGGAGGTGAGGTTTTTGCTACAGGATTCCTAGCTACTGACCTCCTCATGTAGCCAGTGTATTTATATAGCTAGTACAGTTTCTGGTCAGCGGTAATCTCCACGACATTGTTAGTGGGGAAACTCAATGATAATGCAATTGAAAGTCAAGGGGCTTTAGTATTTGAGTCATGGTGAATGATTCTGAACATCCCCACTTCTGACCTTGTGATGGAGCAGAAGTCATTGAAGTAGCCTCAGATGGTTGGGCCTTGGACACTACCTGAGGAACTCCTGAAGGGACTTCTGGGGGAGGAAGATCAGTTATGATCTTTATTGAATAGTGGAAGAGGCTTGAAGGACTGAATGGCCTTCTACAGTTTTCTGTCTTGCATTATAATGCTTTGTGTTAGAATGGCAAAGTGCTATGTCAGTGTGGAATATTTTATAATTTAACACACCATTAATTATTTTAAGTGGGAATTTATTTTCCAAAGGAGGATTGTTGTTTGCAAGTATACGTTATATTTGCCTTCTTGAATTAAAGTTTTATAGCCATTTTGTTTTAAAGCAACAATAAACATTGCACATCTGTTTTGTATAAGAGCTATATCTTTAGAGGGCATATGAAACCCAGTTCCTATCTGCCCATCCAGTTGGACATGAAGGATTCTTTTAGAGAACAGGGAAGTTTTTTGTGTCCTTACCGATCATTATCTCTGAAATAATTTTGAAAATCTTCTATGTAGGAAGAAAGTTTAGGATTGTCTCCTGTTTCTTGCTTGTAACTTTGTTCAAGTATAATTGTATATTTATATGGCGTGAAATCTTTGAAAGTAAAAAGATTACTTGTGTATCTGTGACTGTTTCATGGTGTAATTTTTGTCTTTCTAGGAATTTTGTACTTGGCAAGCAGTTGCCCAAAATGTGCTTGGATGAACAATGGATACTCCTGAGTATTTGGATTTGGATGCGATAGATTTTAGTGATGATGTTACTGTAAGTAATATTTATTGCTATTCTTCGTACTGCTTATCCTACTTTAATAAAATAAAGCATTGTCGGACAGCTGTTGGGAGTGTGGGAGATGTTTTGTGTTGAGTTTTGTTGAAATACTAACAAGCTCAAAAAAAAACAAATTGGTATGGGAGCAAGATGGTTTATTGAAATGACAAACAAGAGGAAGGCCAAGGTTATTCTAACAGACAGAGCGACACATGGAGGCAGAAGCTAGAAATCACTGCCTGAAGAACATTCATTGTCACCATTTATCGTGATGGAAATTGAAACAGCATTACATGAAAGCAAGTGACCACAATCACACCTGGAGTGGGCAGGTTAAGTGCCTAAACATATGAGGGAGAGGGCCGCAGGATGCACTGAAGTGTGACCCTTTAGAGGCAAGAATATTATACACACTGTGAAGGACACAGACCTGCAAGGACCCCAATCCCTGGCAATCTTAACGCATTGGCTCCCTTTGTGCAGTACAACTCCCTGCCTCAAAGACATTGCTGATTGCTCATTCATATCAGCACATTTGCACGGAGAGCTCAGGGAAATAAGAGATGTTTGTCCACAAAGGGCAACACTGCCAGCAAAACCCATGCCGTGGGGTATGCCTTGTTCATCTAGTTTCCTCATACTGCAGCAGGCTCTCAATGTAGGCATTAATCTATGGTACATTCACTATGAACATGAAGTTAGGCATCATGCCAGGATGGTTTGCATTTGGGGCTACGCAGAAATTCAGACAAACCGATGTATTGTAAAACCATTAACACTTATGCAAACATGAGACTTTACATACAGTGCAATGTCTTCTGTGCCACCCAAGTGACTTCAAAAGGGCTTTTATTGTTTTTGTTTTCTTTTCTTCCCACTGTGTCTCATTGTTGTGCCAGGTTCCACAGCTGGGTGCTTATCAGTGGAGGCTATTGGCCTGAAAGGCTTGGTCTGGTCCTTGGGGTGTTTTTGTCTGGATGGCTCGAGCATGCTGAGAGTCTGCTTGCCAAAGGCTGGGGCACCCTGATCGGCTTGAAACCCTAGAGAATGGAGGGGACCAGGCAGGATGGAGGTGTAGGGTCTGGCCACTTCTAGACAATTCTAAGAGGAGACACCAGTGGGGTTTTTGTGTGGCCCATCCTCTGGCTGGCAACCTCCTTGTGAGGAAGGGGCATGTGGAGTTGAATGTCAGATTCGCTGTCCCATAACCATCATGCCTTTGGTTATGAGAACCAATGGCTGGGGTGCTGGAGTGCACCTGAGAGTGCCTCTTCCGCAGATCCTCAGAGTAGCTCTCCGTATCAGCCATCAGCCTGTCCTTGGAGATGTACAGACAGATGACGGCATGCATGAAACAGTTAGATCAGTATAATTGTAGCTGCACTGCTGCAGTCTCTGGGCTAGGAGGCCCATTGTCTCTCACATTGCTCCTGTCCCTACCTGTTCATGTGGATAAAGTAACTGATTGCTGATACTACAGGGTTCTGTCCTGCCTGGGGCTGAGTAGGTACCTGGCCTCTGTCAGCCTCCGATTGCTAGTTGCCTAGGGCATTTTTCCTCAGCTAGTTGTAGAAATGTCACAGTAAACTGCTCAACACCTGAGCTCCTAAACTTATTAAATTGGACATTCCCACCAAGGAGTCTCGGCTGTAGTCCCAGTCCCCTCCTTTGCTCGTTCCTTATAGTGTGTGAGGAGCCCTGCATCCATCCTGGCTCTTTCTGCCCTGTTATCAGTTGTTTTCTCCTGTAATGGTGAGATGAAAGTAGGTAGCATAGCTATTGGTGTTGGCCAGGTGGTCAAAAGGTGAAGATATATCCCGGGCAAGTGAGTAGCCAGTGCAGAGGCCCTCATGGTTAGTGGTATGCGATGTTCAGTAAGATCGTGAGTGACAATGGTAGGTGGAGTGGTGGGACTGATAGAGTATGAGCCTTGGTGGGAGGTGAGTGCAGTGGCACAGAGAAGAGTATGACATTTGCCCCTTAGAGTGGAGATGGTCGCTGATCTTCTTACAACATTACTTGCCATTCCTCTGGATCACAGAGACTATGCCGACCCAAGTGGCAACCTCGGACTGGGTGGCATGCCCTCTTCTGCCACTCCTTTGGGAAGGGACGGCCCTTCTCTGGAACACCCTATCCACCACAACCTTCATTCCCTGTTTGAGAATTGTGATGCCATTTTTCCCCTTTTCCAACATCTTCGGTAAGACTGCCCTTTGAGCAGGGAACATACAGAATCCCAGTGCTGACCCTGATTTACAAATCTTTTAAAGACTTCAAGTCCCAGTGATGCCAGTCCTTCAGATATAGAGTGAATGATGAGTGTTAGGATTGGGTGAGAGGGGTACCGTAGAAGTGGGGTATGTAGTTAATGAAGTGCGTTTTGTAAGATATAGTGAGAGACCTCGCTAGGCTCCATGGAAAGAAATTCTCCGTGAAATTTGACAAAACTGACAGCCAAAAAATGTAAGATTCAGCCTGTAATTTCTGTTTAGAGTACTAAGCCTAGATTTGTGTAGTTTTTGAGAAGGGAGGTAAAGCATTTTTTTGCTAAAGCATTTTGTCTTGTACTAATCAGAATACATGCAAGAATAGTATCTTTCAAATGATAGCAACACATTACCAAAGAATAAATGATAGAACAATGTAATCCAGAATCTTAGGCTATTGGATAACCTCACATCTTTCAACATTGTATTTCATATGCAATGTTCTTGTCCATTCACTAAGCCTGTCCAAATCCTCCTGAAGACACTTTATATTTTCTTCACAATACACTTTCCCATTTATGTTTGTACTGTCCACAAATTTGGAAATATCGCATTTGGTCCCCAAGATATTGATGTTTTCTGTATTGTGGACAAGTGGGACCCAGATGCCGATCTTGGGAGACCCTGCAGTCACAGTTACCAATGTGAGAATGAGTCATTTATTCCTTTTTTTCAGTTAGTCAGTCATTCATTCATGCCATAATATTTCACCTATCCTATGTGCTGTAATTTTTTAACCGCCAGTGGGTGACTTTATCCAAAGCCTTTTGAAAAAGCAGCAGAATCACACTTCGATACAACCTACAACTTCATGGCTCAGTATATTCCAATCAAGCTGGTTTGATGTTCTGCAGACGTTTCATTACCCCGCTGGGTAACATCTTCAGTGCAGCCTCTGATGAAGCACCATTGTGTTCTCTCGCATGTTATTTAAGCGGTGGTGTCTGTTGAGCTGGATTACCCCACTTCCAGTTTTCCTTCGCAATGGAGTGTATATGGGGTTGAGCTCAATGTGTTTGTTGATGGCTTTCTTCGTGGAGTATCAGGCTTCTAGGAATTCCCGTGCTTGTCCCAGGATCTTGGTGTTGTTCCAATCAAATTGGTGGTTCTCTTTATCTATGTGGATAGAGATGAGTGAGTATTGGTCGTGTCTTTTTATGGCCAATTGATGTTCGTGTACCCCTGTTGTTAATTTCCTTCCTGTTTGTCCGATGTAGTGTTTGTCACAGTCTCTGCAGGGAATCTTATAGATGATATTGGTCCTGTAAATAGTAGGAAGTGTGTCTTTGGTTCGGGTGAGCAGTTGTCGTAGGGTTGATGTGGGTTTGTGTGCCATTCTAATGCCTAGTGGTCGTAGGAGTCTTGTGGTCAGTTCAGATGTGTTCCTGATGTAAGGTAGTGAGATGAGTGTGTCAGGGCGTGTAGTATCTTGCTGGTGTCGTTCGTGTAATAGGCATCTTCTGACCCAGTTTTTCGGGTATCCATCCTCTTTGAATACCTGGAAGAGGTACACTTCTTCTTAGCGTAGCTCTGTGCAAAGTTTTAAGTACTCTTGAAAGTATGGCCCTCCCGCTAATCCAACCAAAGCTATGGATACACTATGTGGACAACACCTTTGTCATTATTAAACGGACCAAACTAGAGGAGACACACAAACTAATAAACAACACCTTCACTGGAATCAGATTCACCAGAGAAGAGGACAAGAACAAACAGCTTCTGTTCCTGGACGTCATGGTAGAGCGCAGGACAAATGGGGAATTCCTAACAAGGGTACACACGAAAGCCACACACACTGACCAAGAATTTCAACAGCAACCACCCTAACACACATAAATGAAGTTGAGTGAGAATGTTATTTAAACGGTCAACAACACACTGCAGCAGCACAGAGCTACCTAAGAAGAAGGAGAGTACCTCTTCCAGGTATTCAAAGACAATGGATACCCGAAAAGCTGGGTCAGAAGATGCCTACTACACGAACGACACCCGGAAGCTACTACACGCCCCAACACACTCATCCTGCTACCTTACATCAGGAACACATCTAAGCTGACCACAAAACTCCTATGACCACTAGGCATCAGAATAGCACACAAACCCACATCAACCCTATGACAACTGCTCACCTGAACCAAAGATGCACTACCCACTATGGACAGGACCAATTTCATATACAAGATTCCCTGCAGAGACTGTGACAAATACTACATCGGACAAACAAGAAGGAAATTAACAACATGGGTACATGAACATCAATTGGCTACAAAAAGACATGACCAATACTCACTCATCTCTATCCACATGGATAAGGAGAACCATCAATTTGACTGGGACAAGCAAAGCAGAGACAAGCACAGGAATTCCTAGAAGCCTGAAACTCCACGAAGAAAGCCATCAACAAACACATTGAGCTCAACCCCATATACACTCCATTGTGAAGGAAATCCGAAAGTGAGGTAATGAGGCTCAACAGATACCACAGTTTAAATAACAGGCGGGAGAACACAATGACACTTCATCGGAGGCTGCACTGCTGATGTTACTCAGCGGGGTAGTGAAACGTCTACGGAACAACAAACCAGCTCGGCGAGCCAACCAACCACAACATCCACAACCCGAGCTACAAATATACTCTAAAACCTGAGATATTCCAATCAAGCTAGGGTCCATGGACACATAGAATTTAAGAGCAGTAGAAAGCCATTTGGCCCTTCAGATCTG